AAAAAAAAAAAAAAAAAAAAAAAAAAAAAAAAAAAAAAAAAAAAAAAAAAAAAAAAAAAAAAAAAAAAAAAAAAAAACTCAGAGGCCCTTCCCATTTTATATTTAGTGGCCTCTGTCTTTGGGACCAAATTTCTCTCTATATCGAGAAGATTAAGACATATACATACATACAATTTTGTGCATTTTTTTTTCTCTATTTCCATTATATATTTTTATATATATATATATATCTTATTTTGAAAGTTTTATTAAACATTAAAAAAATTTAAATAGAATTTTATTTAATCGTATTTATTAAAGGCAGCAGCATAATATTTTAAAAAATTAACACGTAATTAATATAAAAAAATTAATTTCATGAATGATGTTGTAAATGATGTCTTTTGAATTGAAATGAATGACAATAACGTAGGTTGGGATAGCTACCCGACCTAGATTCAAAAGAAAAAAACGACACAATAGAGACAAGTTGGATTTTGAATTTTTGGCAACCGGGCACCCGGATCCACCGTAAACCTAACTTCCCATTCAAGAAAGTACATTTTTTCCTCTTTTTTCTCTTTTTTTCCCTCTTATTTCCTTTCTCACGAATGTGATCTTTTGGGTACTTGGGTATTTGTACTATTGTACAATTTTCTCTCGTTTTTTAATTCTCCTTTTATTATTTATTTTAATAGAAATTCCCGTTTTATATTATTATATCTAGATGAAAAAATAATTTGTTAATCCAATTCCGCCGCTAACAGACCGTCACTGTTTTAAAATGTCTGTTAAAAAGAGGTATCTATACATTTACAATAAATGTTTCGTTTCCTTTCTCGAACAAATGTAGGCGAGATCATCTAAATTTAACTGAGGGTCGAAATTTTGTAGTTCATATCATTTTGGTTTAATATGGAAATTAGTGGACGAGTATATATTAAATGGAAAAAATAAATAATAATAATAACACAAATATATTTAAAAAAAGAAAGATTAAAACCCTAAGCTAAGAGGTTTGCCCTAACTTGTAAGAGAGTGACCCATGAAATCCGTGGGACCCACAGTTTTGGGTGTTGGAAAATAAGGACGGTCAGGTCAGCCAAAAATAAAATTACACATCATAATTAATTTTCTTCTAATTATGATTATAATAATAAAAATAAAAATAAAAATAATTATTATTATTGGAATTTTTAGAAAAGTGTGGGCCCAAAAATCACATGACAAGTGGGCCCAGTAGAAGGAGATGTCAGTGTCCCCATTCCAACCGACTGGGCCTGAGCCCATAGTTGGTGGCTTACGACAGCGACACCCATTACAATTCCACAACACAACCAACCCTCTCCCTTCCAAACCCATATCTTTTCCCCAATCTCCTTGATTGTGATACCTCCCATCTTTTCTTTCCTTTTTCTTTTTTTCCTTTTTTAAATACCACTCTTAAAAATAACTTAATAAATTAAATACCAATTATTTTTTAAATGTCCATAGCTCCATCTTCCACTCCACGACCATACAATTGAAGAAAAAAACGTCTCCAAGAGAGGAATTAAGGTAAGAATATTCTGTTCATTTTCAACCTTACTCAGCTAACCGAGAGAAATCTCTCTGCTATCTCTTTATTACTTGCCTAATTTTAGGGCGGATCTCTACCAGGTTAAAAAGACGGGATGAATTAAACGGGTATCTCTAATAAAAATACATAATTATGGAAGTTTATAATTAGGGGGCCATAGGATAGGCTAATGAGGATGAGAGAGAAATAGGGTTAGAAATTTTTGGAGAGAGAAATAGGGTTAGAAATTTTTGGAGAGAGAGAGAGGGAAAACCTAATATTGGATCCCATGTGCATGTGAACCTGCTTTCTAATTCCCTTTCAATTACGTCCAACCAACCATTCAAATATCAATATCACAAATAAAATAAACTATTTAAATTAATAATTAACTTATTTTTTTCGTTATAAATTCAATTATAAACATGATTCATATTTGTATCGTAAATTTATAAACTATATTAAAAATATCCCTCCGATTTATGGATAGATTGATATACTATTTAAATAAATAAATATGTATATATATATATATATATATATATATATTTTAATGTAAATATTATAAATAGAGTATAGTATAAATTATGAATTATGTAAGTTTTTGTTTAACGAAATAATTTGAAAATTCAGTTGGGTAATATAAGTTAGAGGCACACGTGGGGGGCGTCAGCAATAGTTCCTCGCAAAGACTCGCAGATTGGATTTCTCTACTGTTACGGTCACCCACTATGACGGCCCCACCCAGACGGTTGGATTTTACCCGCTTTTATAAATCAATCTCACAGCCCCGTTATTATTATTTTTTTTCCCCCATTTTTACTGCCTTGTAACTTTTCACAATTGTACATTTTTGTTAATTAAAATATAAAGTGTAATTAAAGATAATTATTAATAAATGAGACTTTGGTCTGGATTAATTAATTTTCTTGTAAAATAAAAAGTTGGTATATGGGCGGTGTGTGAAGAAATAATAAAAAAATGGAGAGTTTAAATTTCAAAGACACATTTTCTGTATGTTGGTGCGATGGGATCCTCATCCATTTAATTTGCACGCTGTATTTCACCCAAACTTGTTCGGAATGAAATGGAGAATCCCGATCGAGCACCTATTATAAGAATAGAGAGAACGAAGAGAAATTTCACCATATTAACTAAATTGGGCTGGAGACAATGACGGAGAAAGGAAAGACTTACTTGTCTCCATCTCCGTGAACGTCTCTATTTCAAAATACAAAACGAGCATAGCTGTTGTATTTACTCCAACTTCACAGTAAAAATTGTAAATTCGCCATAGTTTAATAAATAAATTTAAGTGGTGCAGGTGAAATAATAGAATCCAAGTGGAGAAATGATGAATGCGTAGTGTAGTTCAATAATTACATTTATTGTCAAAAATGAAGAGAGGACTCAATTATGGAACAGTTTTTTTTTTTAAATAATTAATTAAAAAAAAAAAAAGCATCTAGCTAGGGTTACAGTTACCTGCAGGTCACTAGGGTTTTATTTCACCTCCAATCATAATTAAACAAAATTTTTCATTTTTTAATTTTCTTTTTTATGACGTGGCCTATCATAACCCTAAGAAGCATGCACATCGACTCCCTGCACCCCTAATGCTTGTTGACTCTTTCCTCCCCACTATATAAAACCTAATCCCTCCTTAATTTCTTCATATATTCAATTTTATTTTATAAACCCCTTAAATACACGTGGCAGAAATGTAATTTTGTATGATCTAGTCGTTCTTATAGGGTAGATAACGATAGGTCGGTCCATTAAGCTTTCTCATTTTTACAACGTTTCCTTAAACAACATAAGAAACATAATTTACCTAATATGAATTAATTACTATTTTTAATTTTTTATTAAATAATAACACGGTTACTCATTTTAACAAGCATAATACATTGTAGGAAGAAAAAAAAAGTAACAAATTTGATGGATAATTGTAATTTAAGTAGTGAGGCAAAACGACACCGTATAGAATGGTGGGCGCATTAATTGCATATATTTTCAAGCTCGAGGAAGGTGATGGATCGTGGGTGCACTAATCGCTATGATCCTTATTATTGTTTATTTATTTACTTACTATCTTAAAGATTTATAATTTAATATTTTGTTGAATTAAATTTACAACTTTATTAATAGGAGAAAAAGAAGGTTGCAAGAGATACACTTGTCAACAGCTAAACACAAAAAATATTCGACAAACCCTAAGAGATTTGGAGAGGTCGTATCGATACAAGGTTGTGCTACCGTTCCTCTCGATGCAAAAAAAGATCCTTCTGCGTATGTGAATTTACAGAACTCTTATTAAAATATATGGGTTCTCGATAGACGTTATAGACATTCATATGATTCGAGAATTCGACTAACTTAAATTCTCTAACCAAAATTATAAAAGTTAGATTGAGTTATATTTTCTTTTTTCAGTTTGAGTTTGAAAAATCGACAATTCGAGTCAGTTTACAAGTTGACAATTTTTGGTTTGGTCGACTCGATAAATTTGAAAATAAGGTTACAACTCAACCCTACCCTACTTTTAACATTAATTTGGAGATTAAGAGTATCTGACATTTGTGATGTGAGGTGTTTCATCTGATAAGATTTTAGTTGTAACATATAATGCATGGTCTATAAATAGAATTTTTTATAATTATTTAATAAAGATCAACCGAAAGTCCAGAAATAGAGAGTTAGATTGAGTTAGGCTGTGAAGGTTGCTTAAATCAAGAAGCCAATTAACCTAAAATTTCGAGTTGATTTAAAAGATTTCTTCAATTTAATCCGGTTACACCCCTAATAGATGTTGAATCAAAGTTAGACTATTACGGGGTAAAAATATTAAATTTTGAGATAACCTGACATTTTAAACTGAATGTTTGAGAATGTAATAGAAGAGTGAACCGGAGACGAATAGGTCAGAGAATATTGGGGAATTAGTAGATGTAGTTATCCAAAACTTTATGTATAGTGAAAATTTTGAATGATGGGAGGCCACATCCACGCACGCATATATGATTTGATTAATGTATGGAATGTTGATTACTATTGATCCTGATAAGGTTCCGCTCGCACCATAATACTGTACACATACAATTATATAATCATGTTTTCTCCTCAACCAATGAAACCTTGAAACGTGGCAGCGCGTGGTCCATTTGGGCTCGAGCCTACCAGATAAACTAGTGTGGCCGACAAGTCGACAACCGGATTGTGTGGTCGACAAGGACCTCTTCCTGTCCTCCGTCCACGTGTCCTCCATCCACCGATTCATCTTCCTTTGACCGTACGGTCTTCTCCTCTCCAACTAGCGCTCCCTCCCTTCCCCTTTTACCCCTCCCTAAACCTTCTATTTCCAAACAATTTGAAATGACAATTTCTAAGCTATTTTATTATTTTTAATTAATTTTTGTTAATTTTTAGTAAATGACAATTTCACCCCTTGGAGGTTTGAAAAACATGGGGTTTAAGATAACCGGATCAAAATGTAATTTGAGAACCGGTTTGGTTTAGAATGATTTTAGATTTCAAGATCGGTTTTAGATCAACTATTTCACGGGAGTGTAAATGATGACGGTATCTACTTTTGAAACGTTAGTAAATGCTTTATAGACCAACCCATGTTCGGATTAACAACGGGTTTAACCCACACTATTTAAGCCCCTACTCTAGAGACGCTTAAATGCTTTATTTGGTCCGTTCAAATTCATGGGTAAGAGGGGTAGTATGGTAAAATTGGGAGGGGGTATGAGTAAATTGATATTTTAATAGAAAAAAAATTGGACATATGAAGCTGCTCAGGGGATATTTGTCAGTGTTTGGAAGCTGAGATTCAGAGACTCCCTCTGTTATATCAAACACTTCCCCAAATTTCTTTATCATCATAATCCCATCCAACACTCCCACCAATTTTCTTTTTTTATTTTTTATTTAAAAAAAGAAAAAGAAAATTGAAATCCCTCGGATCATCTTCAAAGAAATTCTTCTCAGTTTTCCCCCAAATGTGAGTCGGATTTTCTCTGAGGAATTTGTAATTGTTGCTTCGTTTTCTTCTGGTTTTGGCTCCGGAAATGCAAGACATCCACTCGATCGCCGGAGGAAGTCGGTTGTTCGGTGGCGGGGGTGACCGTCGTCTGCGGCCGCACCTCCACCACCACCAAAACCACCAGGCCTTGAAGTGTCCAAGGTGTGATTCTCTCAATACAAAGTTCTGTTATTACAATAACTATAATCTCTCTCAGCCTCGTCACTTCTGCAAGAGCTGCCGACGTTACTGGACTAAAGGCGGCGTCCTCCGTAACGTTCCTGTCGGAGGCGGTTGCCGGAAAACCAAACGCTCCTCCTCGTCGAAGTCCAAGTCCACTCCCGATGTAGCGGCGACGTCTCCTCCTTCTCCTCCTCCTCCTCGTCTTCGCGAACGTAAATCCACCTCTCATTCCAGCAGCGAGAGCTCCAGCCTAACCGCTACAACCACCACGGCTGCCGCCGCGGCGACAGAGGCCGTCTCTGCTCCGTCCTCCATTTCAACGTCGGCTCTATTGAGCGTACAGGATAGGAAATTGTTCCCCGCTCCGACTACAAACCCTAATTTCGAAGGTGCGGCGACGGACTGTGGGATTTTCTCGGAAATCGGAAACTTCACGAGCTTGATCACATCGACTAACGAGACATTGGCGTTCGGATTCGGCAATATGGGGGATGTGACGCCGTTTGCGATGAATCATCCGTTTCAAAATCAGGCGGCGAATCAATGGCCGTCACAGAGAATGATGAACGGTAACGATGAGGTGAAGATGCAGGAGATCACAGGCGGAGGAGGAGGAGGAGGGTACATGGATCAGACGGCACAGGTGGATCCATCAGCAGGGCTACAGAATAGCAGATCAAGCAACATTGGATTTGGACCGTTGGATTGGCAATCAAACGGAGATCATCAAGCTCTGTTTGATCTTCCCAACGCCGTTGATCAAGCATACTGGAGTCAAAATCAGTGGAGTAGTGATCAAGATCAGCCTAATCTGTACCTCCCGTAAATCACTCGAGACCACAGTCAAGACGACTTTCTTAGCCGACCACCCTCCGTTTCTTTTTTCTTTTTCTTTTAATTTTTTTTCCTAATTTTAGTATATAATTTAAAAAAAAAAAAAATCTCTCAATGAAAAAAAAAAAAATCAAAACAAAAATTCGAAATATAAAAAGAAAAGAGAGATTCTTCTTCGTCTTCTTCGTCTTCTTCGTCTTCTTCGTCTTCTTCTTCTGTATGTAAATCCGCCTATAGTATATTAAATTTGAGCTTCGTTTATGATGAATTTCGGATTTTCGTTGCCCCTATAGGATGAGGAGGAGGAGGAGGAGGAGGATGACGTGGAAAATATTGGGTGACGTGGGGGCCACGTATCTCTCTACAAAGGACGAGAATATGAAGGTTTTTTCTCTGGGCTTCGTCTTTTGGTTTCCACGTCACTTGAAACAGTATTACTGTGCTGTCACTGTCACTGTCGCTGTCGCTGAGACTTGTGGTAATAAATACACCTCACTTTCTTCTTAATTACAATAATGTCTCCAATTCTTTCATTGTCGGTATCTCTCTTCCAACTTTGTTCATCATTTTTGGTATTATATTTCACAGATTACCTCCTTAATTTTACTCTTAATTCATATTTATTTATTGTTCAAGTTGTTAGTCATATTGTACTGTCCGAATTTTGAACGTAAACAAAAGGAAAATTGTTAGTGTTTGAGAACTCCCACTGTCATCTCTGTGGTTGTTGCTTGTGGGGATGGAGATTGGATTGGTAAGTACTCTGCTGCAATGGTCCTGGAATGGGAATTGGCTTGCTTGATCAAGCGAGATCTGACCTGTGAACTGTCATTTTCATTGTCTCTCCCTTCTTGCTTCTACACAACATTCAACATTCATGATTCCAACTGCGATCTGCCCTTCGATTTGGACTTGGCACATGGTGGTGGCTGATGGTGGTCCTTGTCCTCATCCGCCCCTGCGCCTGCTTGACGACGCTTCTGACCACTGCAAATCTTGTGCCATCTCAATTGTTTAGACTTACCAAATCATGGTGGCAATGAAAGGGATGTAACAGTGGACGAGCAAACTTTGATAAGAAAGTAATACCTAAACGACAGATATGTGTGTGATCCCACTTTGGTTGGGATGAGAACGAAACACTCTTTATAAAGGTGTGGAAACCTCTTACTAGGACAATATCGGTTAGCATAAGTTTGAGCTGTTACCATAGGTGTGGTAGCAAGGACTTGAGTCCCAAGGTGTAGATCATGAGCTCCCAGATTGGTTAGAAAAAGGGAACAAAACACCCTTTATGAGGAGAATGAAGAGGGGAACAAAGCACCCTTTATGAGGGCGTATAAACCTCTACCCAACAGACGCGTTTTAAAATTATGAGGCTGAACTTAGGGACACCTGCTTTTCCAAGCTAAATGGTCCAATGGAGCATCCTTAGATGCAAAAGTTTCAAGACTCTTACACTAAAAGTGGGCACCACTGACTAAAGTCTCCCAAGTGCAACTGGGAATGCACTAAGCTATATATCAAACGAACTACTTACCAGACCAGGGCTCTAGAAACATCCAGCACTCTGATTATGGTCCTCTTCAATGGCTGAGGAGGATCTTATCTTTGCTGTCGTCATGATCTCTTTCTTTGTGTTTATCAGTAGGTTCAATCAGCATCAGATTCAGATCTATAAGCTTCATGTTTTCAATTTACTCCTAAACATACTTCATGTGTGGCCTCTATACTACCAACAAAATAACAGGTCTAACATATAGATCATGAATATGAAACGAGAACCAATTTAAAACTCCGAAAGTAATACGTTAATCCAATGTTCACTCGCTACTCGAGATGAAATTTGTAGTACAATGGCAGTACTAGAAATTACAGCAGGGAAAACATCGCCTCCATAGTTGTCGCCTTCGCGTTCGCAACGTTTGCAACGGATCAGCTTTCGCCATTCTTTCTGGACTTCCAATCCATTCTGTTTCTAAACTGTGAATTCAAGAGGGGCAAGACAATAATTAACTATATGTTTCAATTTCAATAGATAAGGTTGAAAGAGAAGCAACATTACATACATTGGAAAAGAGAAGGAATGTGAGCTGTTGGTGCTGCTGTTCGACTTGAGCGATGCACTGCCCAAAGAAGATGACAATGAGGGTCTTAAGTGATGCGCTGCAGAGGAACCATCTTCATGCTGATGATTCTCCGGCGTGTCGTCCTCAGCCATGGATGTGCTTCCACAGTCATGACAGTGCCGGCAACCTGCTGTCCAGTTGCTGCCAAGTTCAAAGTTGCTCTTGCTTCTAGCAACTGCTTTGCCTTTGTGTCCGTTTTCATCAAGTATCTTAGTCAATGATCTTGCAATAGAGTTTGTCGAAGCTGCTTCCTTCTTACCTGTAACCTACAGAGTTTTCAGACAATCAAATCATGTCTTTAGCTAAAACGGATATCAATCAAGAAGCATGCTAAGCTAAGCCAAGTTTACTCTCACCTTTCTATCAAGGAACAATATAGGCACAGATTTCATAATGGAAACCTCAGAAGAATAATCCTTTTGTTTCTCATTTACTTTGTTAAAGAGGTCTTCCCCAAGGATCTGTGTTGATTCAGTACTTGAAACCGACGACTCCAAGTACTCGGATTCTTCACTTGATTCACAGTCGCTTTCTGGTGTATTATGCTTGAGCATGTCAGGGACGAAACCATCTTCTGTGTCACAATTCTCCTTGATGTATTTTTCATGTGACATTACCACTTTGTCGATGCAAATATCTTTCACAAATTCTAAGTCGGTTTCTTGAAGGAAAACAACAAGCTCAGGCAACTCGTCATCCATTGAAGTCTTGAATGAACTCTTTGGGGAATACCGGCTGATTTGATCTCCAATTCCTTCTGATTCACTAGGATCATCATCTCTCTGTTGTACAACATAGTTTCTTCTTTTAAATGACTCGACATCGACTTTCCATTCAGTCTTCTCCATGCTTCGGCTTTTATGCATATTGTTCACTACCAAATCAGAAAATTCACTCCTCATCTGTTCTTTGATGATGAACAAATCACCAAATTTGTTTCTGCTAATAAGTTTGATCCTTCCAATTCTTATGAAGCTGTCAAGGGATTTGTTATGCTCTTAAAAGGAAGAGATTGCATGCAAAGAAGAGAAACAATCATCTTATTTTGAAAACTTGGCATGAAGAACAAACGAAGGATGTTCTACTTAATACTATCAGAAACAACCTAGAAGAATCAGAAACTGACATTTTCACAAGAAACAGCCCAGGTCTGTACTTTTCTCAGCAGCCAAACAGACACAGACAGAGAGAAAGTGAAGCTGAAATTACTATGGACATATATATATACACAATCATCATAAAACATAAGATTAATGACCATCACCTATCATTCAGACCAGATCAATCCCCGACCAGACCTTGCCAATGTCAGAGGAGAAGCATATGCAAGCACTTGGAGGGCATCAAGAAGGTGTAGTCTAGAAAACAGTAAGAAATGAAATATCTAATGTTCATCTTCAACCCCTTCTCTAAGAAGATTACAGAGGATGAAAGTAAAAGGTGGTCTGCAAAAACTACAGGCCTTATTAAGCAGAGACATAACTCAAACACATAAATGGCAGGCAACTAAATCACATTTAATGCCCATAAAAGTTCTAACAGTTCATTGACCAAAGACCTATTTGTTGCACAGCCCAATACAGAAACAGTTTCATTTAATATAATGAATATGGTATGTTCATGATGCTCATAGGATGCACTTACTAATTGGAAATATGAATGTATATGCTTTACACTATGAAGATTCATTCACAATGTTACCTTGTAGCCAATCACAGTTTCCATTTCTCTCAACGAGAATGTCCTGGCTAAGAACTACTCATGAACAAGCCGGAAAATCCCCGTCCCACCGACCACTGGCATTTCCCGGAGTTCGTTCATGATGGGATTCCGGCCGACGACGCTGAACGAGCTGCCGTGGTACGGTCCACCGGTCATTACGAAGGTTAGCGTCATCAAAAGGTTGAACTCCTTTTGTTGCGACGACATTACATAAATCCCCTGAGCACGCCCAATCAACGTCGAGCCCTAATCCGGGCGCCACCGTGAGCGGGTAATCCATCATGAAAATAGACCCAAACATGGCGGCGATTGGGTCCGAACCCGTGTAGTTCGTCCGCCGTCTGGCGACTTGAATCCCGGTGGCGTTCGGACCACTCACAATATCATGCATGTAGAACTGAATCCGAGTCACATTAAGGTTTAGCGCCTCAACGACTAGGAGAATCGCCATGGAAATCAGCAATATCTTGCTGGAAGCGGCCATGGGTGCGTCGCTTCAGTACGAAACCAATTGCAGATTGCATTGTTCGGTGAATGGTCGATTATATAGCCAATCTGAGTGGCAGAAATTTTTTTCAAACCCGTGGAAAGCTAGAGTTCACTGACAATTACATTGAAGAAAATTCTGTTCGAAAATTCAATCGATTTGAAGAACGAAAACATACCCAGAAATTCGGCGGGTAGTGTGCTTGCAAATTGTCGGATCGTCCATCGTTCAACGTAGGTGCGTCTTTCACCTGCGACCAGCAAACGTGGCGGGAGACTAGAAGCATGGCGCATAAGTCTGTATTATTATTATTATTTTTTATTATTTAGACTAGAAGGCCCAACTAATAAGGCTTTTTATGCCAGACTACAAGGCCCGACTAACTGGGCTGTGAATGAAGGCCCGACTAACTAGGCTTTAAATGAATGCCCGACTAACTGGGCTTTGAATGAAGGCCCGACTCACTGGGCTTTGAATGAAGGCCCGACTCACTGGGCTTTGAATGAAGGCCCGACTCACTGGGCTTTAAATGAAGGCCCGACTCACTGGGCTTTGAATGAAGGCCCGACTAACTGGACTTTAAATGAAGGCCCGACTCACTGGGCTTTGAATGAAGGCCCGACTCACTGGGCTTTAAATGAAGGCCCGACTCACTGGGCTTTGAATGAAGGCCCGACTCACTGGGCTTTAAATGAAGGCCCAACTAACTGGACTTTAAATGAAGGCCCGACTAACTGGGCTTTGAATGAAGGCCCGACTGACTGGGCTTTGAATGAAGGCCCGACTCACTGGGCTTTGAATGAAGGCCCGACTAACTGGACTTTAAATGAAGGCCCGACTCACTGGGCTTTGAATGAAGGCCCGACTCACTGGGCTTTAAATGAAGGCCCGACTCACTGGGCTTTGAATGAAGGCCCGACTCACTGGGCTTTAAATGAAGGCCCAACTAACTGGACTTTAAATGAAGGCCCGACTAACTGGGCTTTGAATGAAGGCCCGACTAACCGGGCTTTGAATGAAGGCCCGACTAACTGGACTTTAAATGAAGGCCCGACTCACTGGGCTTTAAATGAAGGCCCAACTAACTGGACTTTAAATGAAGGCCCGACTAACTGGACTTTAAATGAAGGCCCGACTCACTGGGCTTTAAATGAAGGCCCAACTAACTGGGCTTTAAATGAAGTCCCAACCAACTGGACTTTAAATGAAGGCCCGACTCACTGGGCTTTGAATGAAGGCCCGACTCACTGGGCTTTGAATGAAGGCCCGACTAACTGGGCTTTGAATGAAGGCCCAACTAATGGGCTTTTTATGAATGCCAGACTACAAGGCCCGAGTAATTGGGTTTTTAATGAAGGCCCGCCTAGTTGGGCTTTGAATGAAGGCCCGAGCAACTGGGCTTTAAATGAAGGCCGGACTAATTGGGCTTTGAGTGAAGGCCGGACTAATTGGGCTTTGAATGAAGGCCCGACTAATTGGGCTTTTAATAATGGCTTGACTATTTGGGCTTTGAATGATGGTCGTCTAATTGGGCTCGACTAGTCGATTTGAGGTTCCAGGCCTGCGAAGCGAACATTTTCCCCGCCAAATTCTCAGGCATGTGTAACGGACTCCGGGGAGAAGCCTCATAGAGAGGTTGGCAATGGAGGAGAGTGAGAGGGAAACCAGTATCAAAACCCTAACCGGAGAGTCCTCGACGGTTTCTTTTTCCGGCGGCAGAACAATTGAGGACTTCAGCTTTCGACTCAGGCGGAATTTCCCCTCCTCAACCATTTCCCCCAATTTTTACCTCTTTTTCAAGGCAATGAACATCTCTCTCTCTCTCTGTCTCTCCATTTATTTTCTGTTCTTGTTGTGTTTTTTTTCTTTTTTTTTTTTTTTTCCCGATGATAGTTCTCATTTTCGTTCTAGGGAACTAAATTGAAACCGCAGAGTCAAACTAATGAGCGTCGCATTGACCATGGCGAATATCTAGTTCTGATTCCATTTATTAAAAAGGATTCTTCCAAATCCCAGCAACGCGATCAATATGAACAAGGGTCCAGTGTTGTGCTTGGTCCGACATGGTGCAGGATTTATCGTATTTACACGACTGTTCTGTTGGAGGGAGAGAGGAAAATGAGGCTTATCGTGAGAGAGAGAGGGGGTTCGTGGATGCTGAACTGGTAGCGACATGGTAGTACCGGTATTTTAATGCGAAAGCAAAAGGTGAAAAGGGTTTTGTTTATTGAAAGGGAATTTAATCGTCTCCTAGTGGGTGAAAAGGGTTTGGTTTAAAGGGATTCATTGTTCATGTACTGCCACTTTTGCATAGGCGATTCACAGGTACATCGGCAATTGGAGTATCAAAGGCATCAAGAGGACCCAAACTTGATTCAGTGGAAGCACAGGAGCATATGTATGAACAATAAATTGATTTCAATTACATCACAGCTAAAATGTTCTGAACCAATTATTAAAGAAATTGACAAGTGAATAATAATCTGTAGCTTGCAGATCATGAGGGGAGTAAAAACAAGAAAATCTACAGCTTGCTGATGGGAGAAGAAGAAGCTATCACCATCCCTTTTTCTTTCTCTTCTCAAGAAACTGGGGTGGAGTAAATAAAATCTCCTACCATACTCAAAATTGTCTACTTTTTGAATCTACAATGAAAAGCATTGGTGGAAGATGTTGGTACTACAGTTTTAACTTGTTATGCAATCTTCAAAATAAGTGTGGCTTTGATTCAAGTAACGTTTCCAGAGAGGCCTGTACCTGGTTATGGCCAGCTTCAACCAAGGCTTCATGTTCCCATTGAAGTGAATCACAGCTGCACTCTCGATCAAACGGTTGTCGATGTTTAGGTCGTAACCCAATCCTAAGACATGCCATCTCCGGTCGAGTGGTTCCGTTAGCCCATAGAAGGTTAATAAACCAGGAGGAAGAGTCCCTGGCTTCCAAAGCAAACCGTCTGCATTTTGTTCCTGCCAATAATGATACCGAGCTGTTACGTTTGCTTTCCTCCATGCAATTAGATCGAAAACATTCATTCCAAACGCCCATCCACACGCCTGTGGATCAAACTTTGAGCTTATGATTGAGTTAGAGAAGTTCAGGTACTTGTAGTAACGATGAAACGCTTCGAGACAGGTTTCGACCACTCCATTCACGTTTCCATGCAAATCAACAGAAAATAGTGGTGTGAGGTCTTTCTGGACTACGACATCGTCGTCAAGAAAAACTACCTTCTCTAGCTGTGGATAGATCTCTGGAATGTAAAACCGAAGATGGTTCAACAACAACATATACTTCGGGTTTCGCAGTTTCGGATCAACTGCCAAATCCTGAAGCCCTCCAAAATAATACGCTCGTGTATTCGGATCGAGCATTTGTTTCAGAACAGGAGCATAAGAGGCATTCAGCCAAGAGAAGTCCTCAATCTTTTGGACTTCTATTGTGGATCCTTTAAAATCGTTGCTAAGGAACCAAGTCTGCATAGCTCCATAGTTGATCCCGTTCGTGACAATGTGGAAGACCAACTGTTTCGGATGATCGGCATTAGAAACAGTGGAATTGACAACGACAGACGTTGCCAAAACGTTGTCCGAAAATATGCAAAAATGATACAGATTATTATCCACGACTCGCTGCGAGTTTTTCCTCTCATCTGCCATTTTTTGAAAGGAAGGATATTTCATCCAATCAGCTATGAGTTTCACATTTAGGCAGTGAAGACTCTTCGGAAGAGCTTCCGCTGCAACTTGCCCGAACACCGTGCTTTGCACCGTGGCAGCATTAGCCCGCTCTTCAAGGGCTTGAATATGAGACTTCATCGTCATTATTGTGGTCGAAATATCGTAATGAGCATCTTGTGCCTTGAATATCAAAGAAGATAGGCTTTTGATTATGGGCTCTGCTTCCTCTAGAGTGATGGGTTCCCCTCTCATCACAGCTTTTGAAAGCAGTAGCTGGGAACTTCTGATTTTAGAGCTCAGCTCCCAAGCAAGATGAAGATTGCTATGCTCTTTGGCGATAACTACATAAGCTTTGGCAAGTGTGATTTGCTCTGCCAATTGTCGGGAAAACGATGTAGCGCTCGATATTTCTTCAGTGAAATTTAATCTGTCATGAGCAACTCGTTCAATTCTTGAATTTCTCTCCTGGAAAAAGTCGGAAGTCAACTAATCAACATTCAAGCCATCATATGCAATGAAAATTTGTTTTGAACCACTAAAGGTATATTTCGAAGTGATTTTAACCATTTCAAAGTCACTCCCAGACATATCCTCGTTGTTTCGACATGAAAAGATACAACCTGAGCACTATATCAATATACACACTTTTTTTTTGTGTGTGCTTGAATCCACTTGGTCATGGCTGATGGCCATACCAGTGCTTCTGAGGTGAAATTAGGTGGGTCAAGGTGTTTGTGACAATGGGACAACAATTGTGCAACATTTGTTCTAACTTAGTGAACAAACCAACCGTGTGAAAGTCGAACTTTGTGGGCAATCTTGGGGTATGATCGAGCCTTGAGTCTCGAGTCACATTTGAGAGAAATGTTTTAAAAAATGTGAGTAAAAAAATGAGTTGAAAACAATTTGAAAGAAACCAATGTTGTAGACTAAAAGCGAATAAGCAACAACTATGGCTTTGATAGCGTATAACCCAGACAGGAAAAATTGACAACTAATCACATCCTCCTATAGTATATTTTGGGGGGTATTTTAGCCCTAACAGGTGTAGATATGATTATGGTGAACGGTCACACCCCCGTATTGACATAACAAGAATAGTAAAGATTTAACTATACATGAAAGTAAGTAAAAAGGGTTGGAACAGACACGCGGCCATGGGCAACACGCCTGGACAAACATGACCGGCACATCTGGCTGTGTTGTCTTGGACAAGTATGTCCATGGTACTGTTCATCGTACTACTACTATCAGTTCCTTTTCCCTAGCGTTTCGAGATTACTAGCCATTGTTGTCCCAACCTGAACTATATATTCTAAAAAATAATAAGCAACTAATAATTCACTGCAACAACTCATAACCTTAATGTTTTGTCTTTTTATATATTCTAAATAATATCTGATCAGCAGCCACACATACTGTTTCAGAAGCGACTATAACGTCGAGCCAGAAACAATCATATGATATTTCACAATGCCTTGTAAGAGAAATATAAATTTTAATTTTAATTTGCTTTCAAGCATTGGTGTTCAATCAACAGTGTTGATGTTCTAAACAGAACATTCTAAAACCATGAAAACGTATTCTTCCAATTACTCCAACGAGATATCGACAATTTAACAATAAAAATCCGATGCATCCCCGAGATCTATTTTGCTTAACTCTATTATATCTCCGGTCTACCCACAGAGACTCGACTACGAACAAACAGTTGCCCATCTCTTACTCATTCTTTGTTACTCGTCTTATAAAACAGAGAATTTAAAGCCATCACCTCATTGCTTCACTTCATTTTTGTAACAGCCCAAGCCTACCGCCAGTAGATATTGTCCTCTTTGGGCTTCCCCTCAAAGTTTTTAAAACGCGTCTGCTAGGGAGAGTTTTCCACACCCTTATAAGTAATACTTTGTTCCCCTCTCCAACCGATGTGGGATCTCACAATCCAACCCCTTGGGGGCCCAGCGTCCTCGCTGGCAAACCGCCCAGTATTTGGCTCTGATACCATTTGTAACAGTCCAATCTCACCGCTAGCAGATATTGTACTCTTTGAGCTTTCCCTTTCTAGCTTCGCCTCAAGGTTTTTAAAACGCGTATGCTAGGAAGAGGTTTCTACGCTCTTATAAGGAATGCTTTGTTCCCCTCTCCAACCGATGTGGGATCACACAATTCACCTCTCTTGGGGCTCAACATCCTCACTGGCACACCGTCCAATGTTTGGCTCTAATACCATTTGTACCATTTTTAAAATGCGTTTGCTAGGGAGAGGTTTCCACAACCTTACAAGGAATGTTTCGTTTCCCTCTCCAACCGATGTGAGATCTCACAATCCACCCCCTTGGGGGCCAATGTCCTTATTGGCACACCGCCCAGTGTCTAGCTCTAATACAATTTGTAACAGCCCAAGCCCACCACTAGCAAATATTGTCCTCTTTAGACTTTCCCTTCCGAGCTTCCCCTCAAAGTTTTTAAAACGCGTATGCTAGGGAGAGGTTTCCACACTCTTGTAAAAAATGCTTCATTCTCTTCTCCAACCGATGCGGATCTCACTACTTTACTTCCTATCCATCCACTTCAAACTGCCATAGCCAAGCACTTCCATCTCATTGGCTAAAGAGTCCAAACAGCCAATTACCTCAATTCTCACATCAAATCAGACTAACTTCCATTTCAAGGTTTAAACAAGAGAAAATAACAAAAAGGTCTCCTAATTATTTCCTACCAACTCCAAAGTTGTGGTCCTTTCTGAAAGTAGAATCACCTAAAATAGACTCATAGGCGCAGTAAACAATCGAACCAAACTAAACTTCTCTATATATTAGTCAAGCCATCTCAAACACTCTTTTACAAATTTGATATCCATAAATGTATAGAACAAAAATGGCCCAAGCATAATGATTCCTAATTGTGCAAGAAAAAACAATGTAAGCATCCAGGGAAGAACAATGAAGGCATACATGAACAGCAACGTAATTAAGATAATGTTGAGCTCAGAAACCTCAAATCAAAATAAGAACAATTGAATTCAATGATGTAACAGCAGCAGCAGAGTGAGCAATGATTCAGCCAGAAACAAGTATGAAGACATCGATTCAATCGAAATCAAGAAGCTCAAAACGTAGAAGTGAAGAGAAGAAGGTATTACCAGGACGGACTGTTCGATACGATCTTCGCTATGGTTATGGTGAACTACAAACAAAAGGAGTCCTACGATTGTGAAAAGCCCAAAAAGCGCCCAGATCCAATGCGAAAACCTCCGTCGAACCGGGCGGCGAAAGTCGGCAGGCCGCCGCCTCATATTCACGGATTACTAACCCCAATTCAACGCGAAATCAACAACCGGAACCGACCCAGATTGAATCAAAAGACACAATAACTTCCAGTATATCGATTGGTTTGCTCACTAGAACCACAGTGGCGCTTAATCTCGATCAAGTCAATGCACCCTCTTCAGTTCTTAGAAATGCCCACCATTTTGTTCAATCTAGAAACCCAATCGAAGGCAAAGAATAAGTACCCAGAACCAGAATCAGAATTCCGCAAAACGGTGTCTCCCAAAAATGAAAAAGGGTCTGAATGGGGCATAGGCTGAGGAAATGCACAGCTCTTGGGAGCATGTGCGGCGGTTTTGTAGTTGATGAGCCAGCGAGGCTAAGTCGAACGGTAATTACCATCCAAAAACGCCATTGTTGCCACACACCGCCCAATTACATAAAAAATTTACGATTCCTTCTGCCCCCACTACGGATTTTTCAGCTTCAACTGTTGAAGATCCTTTTTCTTTTTCCCCTTCTTGCGTTAGGTTTGATCTTCCATCTCAACTTTCTTTTTTGGATAAAAATAATATCTTTGTCTTTAAATTGAAATTTTGTTTTGGTTAGTTTTTTAGTTTTTTAGTTTTTTTTTTACCCAATAACATTCACAACTCAACCATATATTAAGTTGGGTTGGGTTATTTGATTGGGACGGAGAAACGATGATACTTAAGAAACGAGAGTTGGAGAAGGATGAAGAGAGTGCAAGAGATCGAATATGGAGAGAGCGAGACACGAAAACGAGAGATCAAAGATATAAAGAGCACGAGAGAGAGTGACAAATGGACAAAGATTGAGAGACGTAGAGATGGAGAGAGAGCGAGAGACAAAGAGAGTTAGGAATGGAGAGAGTCGAGAGAGGCAATACACGAGTAAAACATAAATGATCAAGCGAAGCACAACGTGAGAAACGAATCTTCTTTCCTTTTACGTCAATTTAAACAAAAAAAAAAAAGTGAAGGGCTAAAAAGTGCAGGAACAAATCAAATATATTTTATTAACAAATTTTTAAAAAATTCAAATTTTAATATTACACATCATATTTAAAAATTTAAAGTCTATAACATTGTAAATTAACTATAAAAAAAAATATATAATATATATCCAGCCCCATTTATCTAATCGAAAAATTGTTCTTCATTTTCTTCTTTCATTTTGAAAATTTTTTACTAGTATAATTGATAAGTTTAGATGTTAAAGATATTTAGTACTAAATTATACTTTATCATATATATTATATAAATATTTTATAATCTTTTCATTTATTATTTTTTTTCTATTTTTATAATTTATTTAAATATAAATAAGATAACTTTCAAATAGATTAAACCAAGAGAAAGTGAAAGATGGGCAACTTTAATGAATCATGGAGTAAAGGAAAATATATGCTGCAGGTGCCGTAAAAAACAAAACATGCCCTGCCGCCGACACAACATTTAACCTTAGCTTCCTGTTTGGTTTCTGAGGACTGTTGTCTATAGCCTGAAACAACTAAGCAATGACAAGCTCTTCTAATCTGGCATGGTTTACAATCCCAGCTTCAGAAAGGATAGGGAAAGACTGTAGCCAAACAACCCACAAGAAAATATGGAGTCTTTTCCTACTAAATCTTGAGGTGGGGATTTTTTAATTTTAAGAGCCTTAACTACAGACCAGAAGTGTATGATGTGAAGGGCACAAACTGAGGTTAACTTGGACGGTTTCTATCACTATCTGTCGGAATGCAACTAGTTTTGATCGAGTCACTCTAAATTATCGGGCTAAAATGTGTTCCGACAAAACTAAAATTTGATCATTCTAGTCTCATAAACTAGATCGGTTCCTTAAAGTAATCTCGCTCGCCTAAATTTACACTTTTCAATGCATTTATAAACTAAACGTGCAAGAAAGACAAAATAGTTGAGTTATGCTCAAGATAACCGGAGACTTATATTCTTTAACCAGAAAACAAACTCGGAAGGATTCAGAGATAAAATCCTATTGTTCTAGTGTCATTCTAATGTTAAAATTTGATGTCCGAGTATGGTCATGTTTGGATATACTTCTTTGAAAATTTACCTCATTCCCAAAATGTCCCTCCCTCTGACAATTCTTAATCAAATGGGCGGTGGGTCCGGTTTGAATCTGTCGAAAACATACCTGAAAACAACCCAACAGTTACTAAACTCTCACCTTTCGCCATCGTCATGGGTTGCGGTCATGCTTGTTTAAGATACCGCTTTTTTAAGATAATGTTATACGTGGCCATATGTCAAATGTCTTGGTCATGTTTGTTCAAAACGTGTTATTCATGGTCATATGTTCGTTCCAAACCTCTTTTACTTGTTTCTATGTTAGATAAATTATTCTTATTGAGTCAATACTGTGACCGGTCACCAAAATCATATCTATACTTCATGGCTAAAATGCACCAAAATATATATGAGAAGATATAACTAGTTATCAATTCTTTATATCCGAATTATATGCTATCAAAATCACCGAATTATATGCTATCAAAATCACTAGTAGCCTTGTAATATTAATTTATTTAAAATTATTTCCTATATTAGGCTTTTTAAAACGTTTCTCTTAGACATGACTTGAAACTCGAACATACGTTAATATTGTCTGCAAAGTTCAAATTTTTTCATTAGAACAAGTGTCCCATAATAACTATTTCACAATTTTAAGTGTGTTGCAATTTTATCTCTCATTTTCAATTTAATTTTTAATCTTTTAAATTTTAATTTGGTTCATTAAAATTAAAATCCGCTAACAAAGTGTTCGGCCATTTATTAAATTATTTATTTGTCGTCATATTTAGATACTAGAACAATTCATTAATATTTCAAAGGTCAATAGTTTAATAATTTATCAGCCTAACTTACTATTTAAAAAAAAAATTAATTATTTACTATTTTAAACTAAATTTGTACATATTTAGTCTCTTTATTTTAAGTTTTTTAAAAAAATTAATAGAAAAACAGATTTAAATTATTGGCAATATTAAACATTTTTTTAATTTAAAAAACCATTTCTTCGTCGGTCTTGGATTTCTCCTTTTAGGGTTGGTTCATTAATGGGCTTCATCTAAGGCTACCCAACTGCTTGGGCTCACCAATTCAAAAGGCTTTTTTTTTTCTTTTTTTTTTTAAATTTTAATTTGAATACAGTAACTAATTAAATAATAATAAAGTGGAGTGGACAATCTTTACACTACACAGTATTCAGCAATTGATAATGGAAGTGGACATCAACTTGGCTATCAGAACAATAACCGAACGGATGAAACAAGTCCAAAACACTAACTAAATGAAAGAAGCAAGTCTGGAAACTTGAATCGTTGTTTGTTAAATCACGAGTACAGTAGGGGTACAGCAGCAGCGTAGCTCGGGATGGACGAGTGAAGGAATTGTCGGATCTAGGATCGAGAGAGTAGGTGTATACGAGTTAAAAGAGAATGGGGTATGAGAAAATTATTGAAGAGTAAGACAAGTTGTCCTTTCAATCTTTCTATCTATCTTTATTTCTCATCAAAGGGGGAAGAAAAGGAGAAAGGGAGCATCATAATTGTAATGGAAGAAAGATCAATGAGACAACACAACACAAAGAGCGCATAGGCCTTACCCTCATGGGGAACTAAATGTTGTGGGCCCCACTTTTATTTATTTCTCTTTTTTCTTTTTCTTTTATTATATTCTTGAGGTGGACAATTGAATGAATGGGGTATGTATGGCCATCCTTTTCACCTTTTTCAAATCCAAAATAATAATAATTCAAATAATTCTCTTAATAATTAATAAATTAATTCACTTAATAAATTAGTAATTTTAAATTTGTATTCATAATACTATCATTATCGCCGAGAGAGAGTGGAAGTGATTGTTGTTGATCGTGCGTATGGATACGACAATATTTTAATCATTTCTTATATTATTTTTTAAACATAATTTAAGTGATAAATGTAATATTTTTATTTTTTGTGTGTGTAATTTAGGGTTGGCCCATGGTCAAGTGGTGTACTTGTGACTGTTCAACATCACATTACAACTGTTAAATAACAGTTCAATAATAGATCCAAAAAAGGGAATATTGAAAAATAATTTTCATTTAATTATTTGATATAAAATTACAAAATAATATCATAAACTATAAATTTAGAATATAATTTATTTATTAAAAAACAAAATTAATACAATATATTTCTATTTTATTTATAATATATATATATATAAAAAATATCATTAAAAGGCCATTCATGAGGAGGACCAAAAGGCAGCTGTTTGGTGGGCCATGTAACCAACTTGTTAGTGAAACTGCCAATAAATTTGTTTGGTCCATAGACACAGAAAAACCTTCAAAACTGGTTTATTCTAATTTAATTTTTTTTTTCTTTTGTTTTATTAGGAGAAAAAAAAAATTATCTATGGAAATATGGGCTTCCATTCTCAATTAATTGCTTTGCATTCAATTTATCTTTTACTTTATATTTGTCTTTGAATATCGAGTTTCAATCTAGCCTACATTTAACAACGGTTTCGACCGAGCCTATATTTAATAGTGATACACGTCATTTAATTGACACCGTGGATAAGAAGCAATATACAAAGATAAACGAGAAAAATCTTCTATATTACATTGAGAATACTCATTTCCATTAGATCACGACGTCCTTTTCAAGATAAAAATCGTGAATATGATAATCACAAGACGTTTGAAGTTGAACAAACTATAAAGACGTTAGACTTCTAAATTCGGTTTATATAACTTCTGAGTAAAAAATTGTCTCTATTTACATCAATGGAACGAGAACAAAAATTTTCATTCTGGTTGGTTCTTCAATTACATCCATATTTTTTGTGGTCCCATAGGTTTTTTTTATTAATTAGTTTTCGTCTTTTGCCCTCTCCTCTAATTTATTTACGAGATCCTCAACTTTTTATTAATATAGTTAGTTTAGGTTATTTATATATTTATAAAAAAAAAATCACATATTTTCCATAAAATTAAAAATTATATTTAATTTTAATCGGTAAACGTTTATTGGATAAATAAAAAAGATGACTGCAAAATAGAATTAACATTTATTATTAATTATAAATTAAGAATTATATTAACTATTTTAATTTAACTTATTTATTTCGATTTCAGTAGAGTAAAGAGTGACCAGATAATAATATTTAAATTATTATTTTAGAGATGGCCCACTTCTTCAACCGACCAACTCTAAACGAGTGGTCATATCTTTTAACTGGTGCTAAATCTCCGGCTGGTTGTAAATAAAATTGACCCAACTACTTAGACGTGGTAAAAATAATTTATTTAAATTCGAATAACTTTTATATATATATATATATAATCAATTATTATCTTTGAATTGGACAAAAATGTATTAATTTTTATTTTTAACTCCCAATTTTATTCAATTTTCGTGTGTTTTGATAAATAAATAAATATATATAATAAAAATTATTTATTTATGTATTGTTTATTGAATTGACGAGGAATA